TATTAAACTGCAAAGTCCCTAGATGTCTCATTTCTAAAAGGAGATCATTTAAAAATTCCCTGGATGTTCCATTACGATATTTATTAAACTGCAAAGTCCCTAGATGTCTCATTTTTAGAAGGGGATCACTTAAAAATTCCCTGGATGTTCCATTACGATATTTATTAAACTACAAACTCCCTAGATGTCTCATTTTTAAAAGGGGAGCACTTAAAAATTCCCTGGATGTTCCATTACGATATTTATTAAACTGCAAAGTCCCTAGATGTCTCATTTTTAAAAATTAGTAAATCTAAAAATTCCTAAACATTTAATTGAGAACATTGTTAAACTTAAAAGTCCCTAGGCACCGTATTTAAGAAAATTAGTAAGTCTAAAAATTCGTACACATTTCACACATATTATTAAACTTAAAAGTCCCTAGACAAGCCCCTTGTAAAATAAATAAATTAAAAATTCCAAAACATCTAATAACAAAAGTGAAATTTTCAAACGTAGTAAAAAGTCGAGAGTGGTGTTATTTTTTCCCTATATCGCCATTTTCCCTAAGAGAGAGCGATTCTTGCGTCCACCGTGTGAAAGAACATTTAACGCCAAATAAGCAATAGAATTTTTTCGACGATTTAGTCGATAAACGTTGAAACTTCGGAAGTTCCATCGCATAAAACGTGCGGTCGTTGTTTCGCAGCTTCTGTCCATCCGTTGACGGACAATGGACTTCCTCATATTGACATTTGCAGACTATTCACGCGGACAAGCTCAGGAATAGCGTGAAAATGAGTCTATCCCGTTCCTCCCTTCTATTCCCGGCATCATTTTTTTCCCCCCTTTTCAAACCGAACGTTCTCTCTTTAATTTCGTTTCATCCTCTTTCTACCTTTCATCATGGCCCTTCCTATTGTTCCCACGAAATCCTTTGTTAATGAACTTTCTTGTTTCCTTTTAATTCGTTTCAACTCTGTCCTCTTTTCCACTTGTTTATGTTTTTCACCGTTTCTCATTTCATTTTTTATCTCTCGATTTATCCGAGCTAATATTTGACGGTGCTGTTCGGAACACTTCGATACAAATTCCATTGACTGAAATCGATTCCACGCGATAACAACTGTAATTTATGTCGACTTTTATGGCCGCGAGAAAGTACCGTTGTGATTGATAGTTTGGACAACTTTTTAACTTCCATCTTTAATTTCAACTTCAAGGAAAGAATTTGGAAATGCGTTTTCAACTTTCAAAATCTTAAATTTGAGTATTTATAAATTAAAAAATCTTCAAATTGCATAATAAAATACTAGAAAACAATTATACGGAACATAGAACCACCTCTTCCTATATCGCCACTTCCAAATTGCCCGCAACGCAATAACGGCAATATAACGAGAGACTCTGCTAACCTCGTGCTACAGCCAACAATCATACCACTAAATTTACATCACCATATAAAAAGTAAAATTCTCGCAAAAATACTATTTTAAAAAATCTTTCAAATTAACAATTAGTTAATTAATAAATTAACCACACAAATAAAATAAACAGCCTTTTAAACAACAACGGCATAAATGTAAATGAGTATATCGAGCAATAATTATTTAAATTGGCTTTACAGTGCATTATAATGGACCACTTGTACCTCCATTTTTATTGCCGCAATTAACGTGTTAAATAGATGATTAACCTGTCCGCGACATCCGAGAGAACTAAGCAATGATAAGAGCATGACCACATCGAGAAACCGTAATGTTTAAATTACTTTCGTTTCGTAAGGCACTCGAACGAGAAATGAAGCAACTCAACCAAACGAATAGAGTCGGAATTTAAAATTAAACCGCGGTTACAGTTGATTAGATTAAACTTCATTTTCAACATTTAACGTCGTCCGTCTAAAACGTACTCGTCTTGAATTTTTATGAGACTATTTGCAGTGTCACTTTGGAGATAATAAAATGTTGACGTTTGTCGAGACATCGTTTAACAATTTAATTTATCACCGGCGATATAACAAATCAGATAAAATTATTGGAAGAGTTACTTCACATTTATACGTATGATTTATATATTCAAAAATAAGTTCTCTAGCTTTGAAAATAAAATATATTCATCTTCAGATAAAGTTATTAGCTTGAAAGATAAAAATATTCATCTTCAGATAAAGTTATTAGCCTGAAGGATAAAAATATTCATTTTGAGATAAAATTATTAGCTTGAAAGATAAAAATATTCATCTTGAGATAAAATTATTGGCTTGAAAGATAAAAATATTCATCATCAGATAAAATTATTAGCTTGAAAGATAAAAATATTTATCTTCAGATAAAATTATTAGCTTGAAAGATAAAAATATTCATCATCAGATAAAATTATTAGCTTGAAAGATAAAAATATTCATCTTCAGATAAAGTTATTATCTTAAAAGATAAAAATCTTCATCCTCCAGCTAAAATAATTCATCTTCAATATAAAAATCTTAATAGACAAGATAAAATTATTTGATTTTAATCTTGAATATTAAAATAAGTTCATAGAAGATAATTTTCGTCAACGTTCAGATGAATAATACTTTTTCTTGATATGCAAATATAATTTTACGTCAGAATATTTGGCAAATTGAACGTCTCGTAGCAAAAACCAGTGACATATGCAAATACACGGCTGACAGTTTGGACAACTGCTTTAAGGCAACTTAATCAACCGTGATCTGACTATATCTGTCATCGTCGTTCGAGATGAGAGTGGATCAGAAGCGTTTAGTCCAGCTTCAGCCTCGGGAATCAATAAACGGTCCGTACGCGCGTATTATACTCGGTATATTGGTCACCTGCGTCCTACTAACTCTATGTTAACAGCAATTTTTTTCATCGTTATACGTAATCCTCTTTTACGTATCGTTCATGTGCCTGAGTATGTCACAGGTATAGGAAGTAGATGAGGCTGGGTAGAGAATATAGGAAAAGGGGGGGAAAACGTGCATGATCGGTTTCAGAAAAAGTAGGAAGATTAATGAAAGTGGGTCAAGATGAGACCTTCGATAGGGAGGTCGATAGGTGGATAATTTTGATGCTGGAAAATTGGAGGGTTTGGAAGTGCTGAGGTTTTGAAGTATAAAAAATTGAGAAATTTCAAGGTTTTGATGAGGTCACGTTACGGAAATTCAAAGTCTTGGTCTGAAAGAGTTTCAAACTTCCAGAGTCTTAACCTAGGAAGGTTCCACTCTCCCTAGATCCCACTCTCCCCTAGTCCCACTCTCTCTAACTCCCCATTGATTAACCTGAAAACAATGTGAAAGTGCTCTTTCAATATAATTATTTCTACAGGTAAACATAACCTCATAACTCTTTCGCTAAACAATTCATACACGCGAAACGTCAGGGTAGCATCGTTCGCGAGGCGATAAATGGGGAGCAAGTTAACAAAAATAGCGGTACTCGTCCTTCGGTCGAGTCTGATATCGATTATGGAATTTGAACGATGTAAATATGGTATACTGTTACGATGGGTCACTTTTAACTACTGCCAACAATGATCATCACACGACAGCTTTAGCAAATCGAATGGGAAAACATTGTACAAGGATTCAAGTTTAGATGTTTGAAGATGATGTGGGGAAATCGGGAATTATTGGTATAATGTGCGAAGACAATTCCGAGGTCCAAGAGTGTGATGAGTCCCAAAGCGTTTATCTTCTCAAGGTCGAATCTTTTGAAGTCCCATTCTCCTCAAGTTCCTCAGTGTCTCAAGTCCCACTCTTCCAAGTCCCACTCTCTCCTAGTCCCCACTCTTCCAAGTCCCACTCTCCCCTAGTCCCCACTCTCTCAAGTCCCACTCTCCCCAACTCCCACTCTCTCCAAGTCCCCCGCTCTCCCAAGTTCCATTCTCTCAAGTCCCACTCTCTCCAAGTCCCCCACTCTCACAAGTCCCACTCTCCCCAAGTCCCCCACTCTTCCAAGTCCCACTCTCTCTAATTCCCCCACTCTCACAAGTCCCACTCTCCCAACTCCCCCACTCTCCTCGCGCTCCACTCTCCCAAGTCCCACTCTCACAAGTCCCACTCTCCTCACGCCCCACTCTCCCAAGTCCCACTCTCTCCAAGCCTCCCACTCTCACAAGTCCCACTCTCGCAAGTCCCCCACTCTCATCACGCCCCATTCTTCCAAGTCCCATTCTCTTCAACCCCCCATTCTCACAAGTCCCACTCTCCCCACATTCCACCTTCACAAGTCCCACTCTCCCCACATTCCACCTCTCCCAAGCCCCAAATATGTAAAATTCAAAAATTCGAAAATGCAACTTCATTACCCATTTTTTAGGGCTCAAAGAGTACTACATCTGTATTATAAAAGCAAAAAAAGATGGAAATGCAGTTTTTCCTATCGCAGCCACATTTTTCCGGCGCTCAAGATAAAAAGAGGAGTATATTGCAACTTTACGAGCGTGACAAGGAAAAGTACTTTGTTTTTCACGAATTCTTCCGACACCATCAATCTCGAACCTGCCCTTTGGGGCTTAAAGCTTTCGTCGTGCAACAAAGCTCTTAAACTTGCTGGAACTTTGTGCCTGACAATTGCTCGCTCTTTAGACTATGCGAAAATGTTCAACCAATAAATATTTTATGCATTCTTCTTATTTGTTCGGCTGAATATTTGAACTGATTTGATGAAAAGTTGGAACCCGAGACCTACGTGAAAGGCATTCATTCACAATTCGTTAACGAGTATTTATGACGTGTAGGAAGTAAAAAATTCCTATTATATTGAAATGGACACTTCCATTCACACAAGTTCTGTCAATTAACGCTGACTTTCGCGAATCAGTTCCTTTCATTTCTCAACAAAAGCGGCGATTTTAACAGCGGTTCTCAAGAACCTCGTTAGTTTCGCGAACTCTTCTCTTGTCGAGTGTAATCGATCTCATTATACGACGGCGGCTGAATTTCTTAACTGCGGTCTATAATATACGCTCGGACACACGAATCTGATAATGACAAAATGTTAAGACCTTGAACAATGATCAATCAACGACTGAAGAAGGTACAGGTGTGGTCATATCGATCCACGTTGCAACAAAGAATTATTTTTAAACAATTATTATTACTCCTTTCCAAGATTATCGCGACCTATAACCTACAGCAGACATCCTCTTTTTTTTCAGTTCGAAAAGTGAGCAAGGAATTCCTTTATCGAAAATCTATAGTGCTATCGTGACTAATTTAAGTTAGAGCTATTTCAAACTGGCTTATTATCCGTGAAGTACGATATAGCGGATAGTTATTACAGTTTTTTTGAGTATGAACTTTCGGAATTTTTAAACAAGTTATATATTTATTGGATCGCATTCCTCTTTGGTTTATAAGCGGTCGTCGATAGAGCTTGAAGATTAGTTTCTTTGAGCAGAGTGCTTGTAGCCGATTCAAGGAGCCTCGTATGCTTCTTTACGCCTCTTGGTTCGTATTCTTGTCTTGAGGAGCAGTTAGAATTTCTAATCACTTTGGTAGCTTGAGACTTTGTGACATTGAGATATGGAGACACTGAGACATTGAGACATTGAGATATTTAAATATTGAGGTAGTGAGACATTGAGAGATTGAGGCATTTAGATATTAAGACATTGTGACATTGAGACATGGAGACACTGAGACATAGAGACACTGAGATATTGAGACATTGAGACATTTAGATATTGAGGTAGTGAGACATTGAGACATTGAGGCATTTAGATATTAAGACATTGTGACATTCAGACATGGAGACACTGAGACATGGAGGCACTGAAACATTATGATACTGAGACACTGAGACATTGAGGTAGTGAGACATTCAGACATTGAGGCATTTAGATATTAAGACACTGAGACATTGAGACACTGAGACATTGAGACACTGAGACATTGAGACACTGACACATAGAGACACTGACACATTGAGACATTGAGACACTGAAGTATTTAGATGTTAAGACATTGAGGCACTGAGACATTGAGACATTGAGACCCTGAGACCCTGAGACATTGAGACATTGAGACATTGAGACATTGAGACATTGAGACATTGAGACATTGAGACATTGAGACATTGAGACATTGAGACATTGAGACATTGAGACATTGAGACATTGAGACATTGAGACATTGAGACATTGAGACATTGAGACATTGAGACATTGAGACATTGAGACATTGAGACATTGAGACATTGAGACATTGAGACATTGAGACCCTGAGACATTGAGACATTGAGACATTCAGACCCTGAGACATTGAAGTAGTGAGACATTGAGACACTGAAGTATTTAGATGTTAAGACATTGAGGCACTGAGACATTGAGACATTGAGACCCTGAGACATTGAGACATTGAGACATTGAGACATTAAGAGATTGAGGCATTGAGACATTGAGACATTGAGCCATAGAGACATTGAGACATTGAGTCCTTGAGACATTGAGTCCTTGAGACATTGAGGCCTTGAGGCCTTGAGACCTTGAGACTAAAACCTAGAAACTATGCGACTAAAATTTTTAAATCTCCCAATTTCCCAAATTTGAGAACCACTGTCCCCTATTTTACACATTAAACAAAAAATACATATTCAAGTTTAAGATTTAACTTTACAACCCTGAAGGAAAATTAAACACCAACATAATACAGCATTATTCCCGCTTTGAATCGCCTTATAAACCCATGAAGTTTATGCCGCGGTTAATGTATACAGTTTATCACACGCCGTATTATCGTCCGTGTAACATAACCTTAGTGTTTATATGTTTATAGGTTATTCGAGGAAAACGCGGAGCTATTAAATATGTTTACGCAATTTCGTGATTTGAAAACGAAAGAACAACAATCCAACAGCATGGAGCTAGCGCAGCACGCGGAGAAGGTTATGTCCGCACTGGACGAGGGAATAAAAGGGCTCGACGACATGGACGTCTTCCTGACTTGTCTTTATCAGGTCGGAGCCACGCACACAAAGATTCCTGGTTTCAATCCACAATATTTTTGGGTGAGTTCTCAAATTTCCAAGGTTTCTATTACCCACATTCTCAAATTCCAAATTTCCAAATTTTTATTTTTGCAAGTTTCAAAATTCTGAAGTTTCCACATTTCAATAATTCCCAAATTCTAAAATTTAGAACTAGTTCCACGCCGCCATTTTGTCTACCATAGCCCGCCATTTTGTCTTCCACAGTCCGCCATTTTGTTTACCATAGCCCACCATTTTGTCTACCATAGCCCGCCATTTTGTCTACCATAGCCCGCCATTTTGTCTACCACAGTCCGCCATTTTGTCTTCCACAGTCCGCCATTTTGAACACAGTCAACTTGAACGTTACCCTACGTAATCGTATTACCAATCATCTCTACCGTGTTCCTACCACATTAACCAATTTCCTCTGCAACTAATTACCACATTTGTACGACTTTGCTTTCCAGAAAATTGAGAAGCCATTTTTGGAAGCCGTGGAACGAACCCTGGAGGATCGATACTCGGAGAACGTGGAGAACATTTATAAGCTGACGATCAAATTCATTATTGAGACTCTAATCGATGGCTTCGATAAAGCTCAAAATGACAAAGCACAAAGCGACCCGTCTAAGTCCTAGTTGTCTTGGTTGTAAGAAGGAGCCAAACGGAGCTTTGGTTGGCCGATTGAGAAATAATTTCGCCGATCAGCTTTGTCGTTCGGTGCTCTCCGAATGATAAAGGATCGATTTCGAGGAACGAAATGGATCGTTTGATCGTACAATTGTTCATTTATTCCAGAAACATCGCCGTCTTGCACGGCAAGAAACGGACAGACTCGGAAGACAACAATTATTGTGCGACGCTGTTGTATGACGTCAAACAATGTTCTTTTTTTACAGGAGTACAAGAGTTGCTCCGTGAATGGTTAGGTTTTCAAATCTTCTTCCTTCGAGCGGGTCTCGGTGATGAAAGATAATTCGTGAAAAATAAAATAACGATAATTATTCGGAACAGTGGATTCCTCACAAATTTCGATGACCTTGGAATACGTTCTCAAGGCCGTCATTCATGTAAACATTGTTAAACCCTAGTTTCAGAGATACGCGCAAAAATATTTTCAACGTGAAGATTATTTATAAAATGTCAACCTTCACCGATTTGAATGACCTTGAAATATGTCATCGGTGCCATCATTCTAAACAATTTTTCTCTATATATATCACCACCTTTAGGTCCTAGTTTGGGAGATATGAACAAAAATAATTTCGAGGTGGCGATTATTTACAAGATGGCTGCCATCATCGATTTCAATGACCTTGAAATATTAAGGTCAACGTCTCAAACAAATTTGTCATCCTTGATGATAAACTTCGAGGTCATCGAAGTCGAAGAGGAATCCCCAATTCCGAGGAATTATCAAGATAGCTATGATTATTGTATCGCACGTTCGGTTGTTTCGTTACGAAACGAACCACTAACATAACTCTTCTGACGGTCAAAGAGAATAAAACAATATTGTTTCGAATTGATTAACCTGAAAACAATGTGAAAGTGCTCTTTCAATATAATTATTTCTACAGGTAAACATAACCTCATAACTCTTTCGCTAAACAATTCATACACGCGAAACGTCAGGGTAGCATCGTTCGCGAGGCGATAAATGGGGAGCAAGTTAACAAAAATAGCGGTACTCGTCCTTCGGTCGAGTCTGATATCGATTATGGAATTTGAACGATGTAAATATGGTATACTGTTACGATGGGTCACTTTTAACTACTGCCAACAATGATCATCACACGACAGCTTTAGCAAATCGAATGGGAAAACATTGTACAAGGATTCAAGTTTAGATGTTTGAAGATGATGTGGGGAAATCGGGAATTATTGGTATAATGTGCGAAGACAATTCCGAGGTCCAAGAGTGTGATGAGTCCCAAAGCGTTTATCTTCTCAAGGTCGAATCTTTTGAAGTCCCATTCTCCTCAAGTTCCTCAGTGTCTCAAGTCCCACTCTTCCAAGTCCCACTCTCTCCTAGTCCCCACTCTTCCAAGTCCCACTCTCCCCTAGTCCCCACTCTCTCAAGTCCCACTCTCCCCAACTCCCACTCTCTCCAAGTCCCCCGCTCTCCCAAGTTCCATTCTCTCAAGTCCCACTCTCTCCAAGTCCCCCACTCTCACAAATCCCACTCTC